TTCCAATGGTTTAATTCGGAATATTTGAACCCTTTATACCACTGATTTTACCTTGATCTGTTTTAATCTGTTGGCAAAATTACTTCACTTTTGTTGTGTTTGTTGTATGTGCCAAGGTAGGATATACTGATCGATGTGTATTATTTGTTTTGAATGTAAAACAAAACAATCTTTCACACTGTGATGTTTGCTTATACTTTGAAATCTGTAATATCATAACGCTAATCTTGACGTACATGTTTATCAAGGTTAATATTTCTAAAGAATGTTAAGTCAATACAGGAGTGTCTACGTGTGTTACAAGTACGGCAAGATACGATTTAACACTGTCCAAGTGTCCAAAAGTTCCATACAGTGCGTAAGTAGTTTACTTCGCCACAAAATCGAAACATAGTGACTATTCAATGCGTGTTCGAGTTAAGTGTGTTCTGTTTTTACCTAGTGTGTCAAACATATTAAGTATTTAAGATTTCTGTAACATTTGTTGAATCCATGTATAATTAGGCATATTGTATTCGCAATTAACATTTTGTACGATCGCCTGTAGGTAAAGAAGTTGGTTTACTCAATATCTTATTGACAATACATGTTGGGGATTTGGCATCAAGAGTAGGCTGTGCTAACCTTTCTTCCAAATTGAAATTATCATATCTTCAAGGAGCTATCATTATCCCGGATCTGATGTAATGATTAAATTAATGTTTATCATACAAGACACTTTATACAGTATTTGAGATATCTGATAGATGATGTTCAATAAGACACAGGCATAACATTTACTACTAGGTATATGGATATCATTACTGCACCATATGTATATAGTATATATAATTTACATAATCTGTTCAGTTAATATACACGGATAAAATATTATTTTTTGTGAGATATTTTATACAATCACTTTTTTCCTGGACATTCGGGTTAATAGAGCTAAATAAATCTACTCATATGAATTCGAGGAATAAATAAAATAAACGAAGCTACATTCCACACCGAAATTTTTATTTATTTTCTTATATATACAGTTAGCCATATGCTAAGTACCACCCAAATCTTAGGCTTAATTTTATTCGCTGTATTTGAGTTAAATATTCAATGACATTTCCACATGATAGATGGGCATGCTTTTAGGTATCCGTCGAAAGCATACACAATCGATTGGAATGGAAATTTACAAAAAATTAAATGTTCTGTATCGTTTTAAATACAGGTGCTCTAGACGTATTCCCAAAGTCTAGAAAAAATATTCAACTTTAAATGTCTCTTATGAACCGATACGTCACCAAAATCTTGAATATTAACTAACCAACGAGCTATATTGTGTATGAAAATGCCAATATCAGGTAAACCTACCACGCTTCAGGTAAAACACTTGTGGCTGGTGTCTCGTACTATGGACCAGACCCCGAATCTTGTTCTTTGAATTTCGCGTATTGATTTTTTGTCCGAAATAGTCACACACACGTGCTCAATTGGTTTCATGTCTGGTAACATTGGAGGCTACGGGAGTGTCTATGTCATGTCCTGTTGAAAATATGTTTGCATATGGCGAACTGCTTGGGGATCTGATAAGATTACTTCTGCCCATTCAAAGGCCCATTATGGGCTAACAGTTTAGAGAAAGGCATTCCCAAATTGTAACATTGCTACCATCAAATGATGTGACCAGAATGTGAGGGTATGTCATTTTTTTGTCTCCAAACTTGGACTCTGTTGTCTCTTGGACCAAAAGCAGCTTTCATCAGACCATTGAACCTTTCGACCCAATATTCCATGTCCGGTAATCACTTGCCCATTGCAGTCCTGTGCCTTCTTGCCAACAGAGGACGTCTTACTGGTCGACAAGAACGCAGTCGGCAAACATCTGAAAGTCTTTTGACGTTACCCTTGCTGATGCAAACATGGACATTCCACTGTCCTCTAAGCCTGGTGGAAGTGTTGCCTCGTCTATACAGATGCAAATCTTCTCCATCTGTTCTGTAGTCTTTCGAGGTGTGCCAAACCGTCGACGCTCGTCAACATGTCCGGTTTGTTTTGATTCAGACGATGCAAAACACAATGGCTGCCATCAAAATATGCAACTACTTGTCCGTATGTCATACAACCTCGAACCCTTACATAAGCTTGCCATCTTTCAGCATTATATACAACATGAGCAAGGGTATGGTTTACTTGTAATGCACGTGCAAACGCTGCTTTAGGTGGCAAAGCAATATCAGGTTTTGTTAGAGTACAGGGTACCTTAATTTTGATCACAAAATGAGACACTGTAAAGAGTACGACGAGGTTTATTTTTACAAAAGGCAAAATAAGTTTTGATTAAAACGTTCATACTGAAATTGATGGCCCATATGGCCAAGTGTGTATTTCATAAGTTATCTTTATATAGTATATTTTATATACTATAGTTAAATAGTTGAGCAACATTTCTACATTAACGAATAACAAATTGAAATCATTCAGCTGTCACTTAGTGCTAATTTCACTTTCCGCTTACTGCCGTTAATGTTACTACATTTATTTAATCCATGTTTGAACATCAGACATTCTCTTAAATACTTTGTTTGATGTTTGTCCGGTTTGGTGCATTTTAATTAAATTGTTTTCCGTCCGCTTCATTCTTAACATCAACATACCGACGTATGTTTGAAGACATATTTTAAAAATATCCGTACGAGTCCGCGAACTCTCACGTTTTTAGTTTTAGAAAGGATTTTCCAAAGTTAACAACTGAATTTCAGAAATCCTGATTTTCAACACAAATGAAGACGTACGGAAGTTTTGATAAATGATTGTTCTCCTAACTGGAGAGATACTGTTTAAAACGAGATTTCAATGAATTTATCGATTACATCAAGTATAACAGAGGAAGAAAAGTGTGCCTTCTTTGTGGTATTAGGAATAACTTTATATTAAGGTTATATTTCGGCTTTTTAAAAGCCTTGATAATTTGGTCAGACAGGTTTCTTCGATTCTAAAAGACGGAGCAACTTTATTTAAAGAAGTTAATGCACACAATTTCACTGTTTAAATTATTTATCTTTCAATTAATTAACTATTTATGAAGAACACTAAATGTTTAGACCTTAGGATTGCTACATGATAATGGCAATTTCAATTCCAAAAACTAAATTAGCAAATGTTTCGGGGACTCGCAGAATCAAGTCAGTCTGAAAGTAAATTTTATCTAGTTTCTAAATTGATTCTTTTAAACAGCTACTGCTTTTTTATTGTTACAATTTTGTACTTTTTTTATAGTCAATCACGATATATTAGACGCGTTATTGAAATCATTTTTAGCTTTCCGTTGTCCGTTTTATACGTTTATACACTAATCCTGGATGTACAACCTGGACCACATCTGTATGTAGATACAAGAGAGGGAACTGCGGAAGCTTTGTATTCATTTACGTATATAATAGTTCCATTTCTCGATAGTAATTAGATTGCCCGCGAATCGTGCCAACTACACAGTAGTTGGAAAGCCTGAAAAGAAATGTACCGAATAACGATAACCAAAGGAAAAAATGATAAGAAATAGAATATAGTTGAAAAGGTTTCAAATAATTGCTCTGTAGAAGCAATGTCTGGATGCTTTTTAACTGATGCGCGGTTGTATGCAGGTTTGTTAAATGAATTTAAAGAGTATTAATAGTGTGCTAAGTGCACGAATTTGAAGTTTAAGTTTAAAAGTGTAAGGATATAAATATGTAGAGTACTAGATATGAAAATTATATGAATTAATAGTGCATTATTTGTAAGATTATGCTTCGTGCTTCTGTTTCATTAATAGTCAATTTAACTTCAGTTTAAGGCTATACATACAAACTTTCGGACAAAGCATTGTGAGCTTCACGAGTTTCTTACCAGATTGAAGAAATGAGCAAAGAAATTTTCTTGGACTGTTTTGCCATAATCTAAGTCATGTCCGGAGATCTACCGTGTCAGTTTTCAAGTCTTTTCAAATTTGGTAGACATTACAACTATGAAATACATCAATTTTTCCTAAATGACATGTTGCTTTTTTTGCTGTTAGCTTGCTGTCTTTGCTTGTTTTTTTTGTATAACATACATCTTGTTCTGACATTTTTTAAACTCTAACTTCTAACCAACCTTCTTTGTACTTGGTGTGTTTTATCATAAAGTATATACCACTGTTACTTTCCTTGGTATTTTAACACAACGAGTTTTGGAAGATCTACTGTGATTTGCTGTTATCAGTTATTTATTTTACCTTTTCTGTAGATCTTCAGTTTTTTAACCGATTCCAGACATTACTAAGAGGGCATGATAAGGTTATAGTTGCATTTTAATTAGACAATAATTTCCATATTTGTATTCACAGCAATACTATAACGTATTTCTATTAACATAGAGCAGGCGTAAATTTTTCCACCCCGAAATAAAGGAATAAAAAAAATCATGAAAAATTGGGTTGTTCTTTGAACGACAACATTTCTTTTAAAAATATAAGGATGTTGTTTTTAGGAAACAATGGCAAGTTAATTATACACTGTTTCATAGAAGCTGTCATGTCACCTTTTTTTACCTGAGGTTTATCAGTGTTTTACACAATGTATTTCTTCATATTTGATTAATGATTATTTTGAAAACATCATAAAATATTTAAAATACTAAATATATGAAAAAAAAGTGGGAAAAATCTATAAGTTTGACTATTCAGCACTAAAACTTGCATTAAAACAGTAACTCATTTTATTGTATGATTCAACACTACAAAATAACGAAAGACTATAAAATCATTTTTTCTATAGCAATGAGACTCGTGTAATTGAAACAAAGGGAACGACTTGGAAGGAATATGGCAGCTCCAAAAAATATGAGCTACTCGTTCATGTTTATTTTATTGTCCCATATTAAAATTAGACTGAGTATTAATTACTACCTAAAATAACAAAAATGTAATATATGCATGTTATCATGGTCAGATGAAAAAGCAAATAAATATACATACTAAAATATTCAACAGGAAACAAGATTTATTGACCATTTTTATCTCTATATGTATTCGTGACAACACCGGAATCCGAGGCATAACCTAAATGAGTGGGGGAATTATTAGTTGACGATTCGGACACGTCATTATCAATTACTACACGGGTGAATGATTCGTTCTCGCGAACAACGCGATCTGGGTCATGTGATTTATTGCCTGAATCTCTTGAAACTCGTCCTCGCAAAAACTGTTCACGCCTTTGGCTTTGCGTCATAGACTGTTTCGCCTTTGGAAGTTGTTCGGAACACTGTATTTCACCACACTCTTTCTCAGTTGATTCACTGTTGAGTTCTGTGGAAACCTCTCGAAAAACCTCCTCGAGGTCACTTTCCCCGTGTGCGGTGTACCGTTGTTTACGTCCATGCACAAAGAGTTCATCACCCGTATCGAATGACGCACTCTTTCTTCGGCCCTTATATGGAATGCTGGAAGGTTCCTGTTTCTCCTTTGCCTCAACGTTTAAGGAGAGTAAGCGATATGTAACACGCTTTTTGATTCGCTGACTGAGGTCTGACAGGTTTCTTTGCATCGATTGGTTCTCAAGGTTTTCCATGTTAGTCGGAGTAGAAGGCTCGCTGCTTTGCTTGTCCGAAAGGATTGAGCGAGGTTGCTTGAGAGAACTTGTTGAAGATTTTAAGCATGATGCTACAGGAGTTGCCTCCCCTGAAGCAGGAACATTGTTTGTGAGTTGTGCCATAGACTGACAATACTGTAATAATATCTTTCGATCCTCTTTGTACATATCGAATAGTAAGTCCAATTTTGATTCTATGTCTTCAGTCTGAAAACAGAAGAGCAAATGGCAAACTTAACTTGTGCTTTATTCAGACGTCAGTGTTCTGAAAATGTGAAATTTAATTAAAATTAACAACACAAAACGAATGGAGGGAAAGTGAAGAGTTGGAATTCGTCGATAGGAAGTGATTTCATTTAAAGCCAGCCAGCTGACATTTCAGTATTCTACTTATCTAGTACGCACAATTAGCAGCAAATACATTCGAGACCAGCAGTCATCACGTAAAATATGTTTTGTTTTGTTTATCGCCCCTTTAACAAACAACAAGGTTATTCTGAGGTGGGGTCTCGTTGTAGTAGTTGATCGCTGTATAACCCGTCGCATACCATCCGGAGCAATTGGACCAAAGAGCTTTGCTCAAAGACACAAAACATACAGAACAGGTCAGATTTCCATTCTTAAGACAAAAACAAACAACAAAAGACACTCTTGAATGGTAATATCATTTCGATATGGAAGTAAACTTATAGAATGCACAACAAATTCGAGTTGATTTCGTGTGGATCAATATAGTTTTATAAAAGTAATATGAATATAGATATAAATATGATAATATTAATTTTAACAGCTTGTGGACATATAAATTGATAATTTCACAAACTATAGAATCATTAATTTTCGTGGCAGATTTATTTCGCTGATTTCGTGGTTACTTTCAATTAGCAAATTCATATGTTCACGAAATGATAAACATGACAGGGATTTTAGCACTATTGGATATCGTGAGCGAGATTTGTCCACGAAATCAAGCGACATCGAATTTACCACGAGATTTGAGGCCATCGAAATGAAACGATTTTACAGTTATAGTAAATCACACGTCTCTGGAAAAGTTTATACTTTTGGTATAAGATATGAAATCCCCAGGTTACGTTCGATTTGTTTAAGCAACTGTGATTGGCCTGTCAACAAGAAGAAACGCGGCTTTACTAGATAAACACTTCGATCAATTTACATTGTATCATATTGTATCTCTCTTTCATGGAGACTAGCGGCATGACAATATAATGCTTACACAACAAGTAATAAACTGACGTAGAAAACAAATGCTGACTAATCAGGAAGGAATGATGGTATTTTACAAGTACATAACTCATATAATAAAACAAAGCGGAAAAGCTTGTTTGTGTGTATTTAAAGATTTCTATCTAATCCCCAGGGTTGTTTGGTGGACCACTAAACGTAGTTTTGTTCTATAATCTGTTAGGAAGGATGGGAAACATCGTGCATTGATAGTTAGCGAAGTCTACAAGTCCATGCACTTTTAATAATCTATGAATGAATGAAAATCAGTGCAACCAAATTTAAAGCATATTATTTAGTGCGAAAAGAGTGTAAATAATTTTGCTGCTAAAAGACGTTTGTCTACAAAGTTCAAGTCAATGTTTTATACCGTAGCGTATTTTCCCGATTTATGATAATGATGTGAATTTTTAATCCATTTTATTTTACCATAACGTAATTGTTATAAAAAGTATTCTCCTTTGCAGTATATTTCAAAAAAAATATTATCTATACATATTCTTATTCTCTAAGGTACAATGACTGGTTCTGTATTATTTCTTTCATTCTTATATAATTGTATGTGCAATATTAATACAGGATATTGTTTAGTGTTTGAATGCAATACTTTACCATGTACTAACAGGTCGCTCTCTTAAATCATACTTACTGAACGTTCTACTTTTACTATTCTGGACGCAAGACTTTGCTTAGAGTCATAAGTGTCTTTTTTCTTGCTGCCAACTTTTCCTAAAATTTGATCCAATCTGTAAATAGAATAAAAATAATTTATTCCTCTTTAAGGAGACAAAAGAGAAGCATTTCTTAATCTTTAAATGAATGTTTGTTTTTTTTCTATTATTTTGTCTTACTAGTTTCTCTTTGCACAAACTTCTCTAAAAGCTATGACATATTTACCATTTCTTTACTGGTCGAGTTCAATCTAGTTGGTTATATTTGCTTTGGGCCAACACGGAGTCTTTGTACTTCGAGATCAACTACATTGTGCACATGTTTTTCGATGTCATTCACGTTAGGTTTTTTGTAGAAATTGACAGAAAATATCATCAATATTATTTTTCGTAAAAACCTTATTTCAAATCCAAACCTAAAATACTTGAGTTGTATTACAGTTTGATATCTATACCTCGATTGGAGGCTTTTGATTCGCCCAAGCATATCCACATGACCCGCGGAATATTGCTCAATCACATCCTTGACGTCATAAGGTCGCAGTGCCTCCCGGAATTTCTTTTTGGATACAAAGTATCTTATCTTTCTGATAGCCCTAATAGCTTTCTTATGTTGTTCCGTCAGTTGTGTCATTTTCGGAGAATGGTCCTCTTCTAAAAAATGTAAATTTCATATAATTTTTTTTTAAAAACCTTATTACTAAAAGTATGTAAGTCAACAAAGGTATGATTCATCGTAAATGTTAAGTCGTTCTCATTAGATAACGTATAGACGTCATCCAATCTACAAACCAGACAAAATGCATTATTCTTATTAATGGCAGAATCGGAGGAAGCATGATAATAACTAAATATTTATTTTAGTACAAATTATACACTGGTATGGCAGATGGTCAGTTATAAAAAGACAAATCAACACTATTATTGTTTATGTATATAAGTCACTATTTACCTCAGAATAAATTATTAAACGATGACACTTTGACTACAAAGTGTAGTGTATTTAATGATGTATTTGTGAAATAGCAAATAACATCATTACCTATCTTTTTCATAAAGTGCAAAAACCAATCATACTAAATTTGTAGACAGGTTAACACATTAGCTGTCTGTTTTCCCCATGTAATATGTTACGTATATGCCGTCTTTGCTGTGTTAGTAAGAATTAAATTGTGATGTCATAATATGGACAATAACGTTACGTCATGAATTGAAAATGGTTCTACAAAATGGCTACATCCTTTTTAATTTGTCCTCCACGTATTTCCTTTAAAACATTTTGAAAGGTTGCTTTGTCGGTGGTATATAATATAGAGTATCTTAAACTTATTTTCATTTGACATGAAACCAAATAAAACCAATTCCTGCAAAAAAACAAAAGATTTGAGGATTCGTTTAATAAAATCAAATTCAAAATGAAAACTCATTTACGGTCCTTTATATATGTAAGATCATCAATCAGATGTAAAACGGTGTCATCAATCAATATCGTGTTGCCACAGTTCTTTTATAAACAATAACTTCCTTTCCTTCCAGAACTATTTATCAAAGCAGTTTTTGCACGATATTATCATACCATTTACTAAAGGTCCCAAACACCATTGACGAGTTACAGATATAGATACGACGCAGTTTTATGAGACTTTTTATACAGTATTTGGCTGATTGCTAATGTAATTGCTGCGTCTTTTGCTATAATATTTATTACACATTACTTTCATTCGCTAACATTGTTAAAATGTACATTTCTATTCTTTTAATGGTTAAAGTTTGTATACTTGTCAATCTTTTTGAAAATTGTTACATACAATGAATGTGAATGACGTAAGAATGGAAAAGTGTTATCGTAATCGTGATACCAATCCTAACCTTCATTTGGATCCCTGTATGAAAATGATGGTGAGCGGTTGTCTTTCTTTAAAGGAAGCTGGTCAACTCTCTGGTCTGCCAACCCAGTGGCAAGACTAAGATGGCTCCTGTTGAAATAAAATACATCACTTTAACTTCCGGTTCATGTTACATTTGCCATCTTATCGAGTGGCATCTACAGTAATTTTTCCAGTTGATTGTAATTAGGCGAGGGTGGATCGATAAGACTTAGTTACATGTACATGTAGTAAGTTATCATAAACACTGTAGCTCATGCATGAATTTCTTTTATATATTCATATATGTAGTAACTGAACAGATACTAAACATAATAATCCGTCAACAAACTCAATAATCCGTCTACAAAGTTTGTTGTAGATTACAGCTAGCCAATACCAGTTAAGACTTATTTATATATTTTCAATATTATATAACGATTGGGATTTATACTGTAATGTATGCTGATATTCACTTTTAATATAAATATGAGAAATTGAGGTAGACAGGTGAAGATTAAACTAAGGCGAACCCACATTGGTAAAAAAGTATTGGTATGCCTTCAAATCTTAAATATTGAATTCGATATTATTATGTTACATAACTAACATTGAGTTAGATATATCTGAAAAAATCAATGTTTTAGCAGTATATGTTTCTGTATTATGAGAGAAGTCATACAATGACGTTATCAATGTCATTCTCATAACTCATGTTATTTCAACAGAACACTAGAAAACAAAAACAAAAAAATAAATTAATGCAAATCAGTAGAGTATCGAAAAATCGACCATACCATATTGTCCCTTCATCTATCCAAACGTCTTGTCTTTATTTTTTCAATAAGATAAATTTCATGAAAATGCAATCGGTTCAAAATTCAAATTATTCCAGGAGAAAATGGTTAAATTATCGAAATTCCACTGAACACAATCTTGACATGCAAAAAGGTGACACTTAACGTAAATACTACATCAACCAGTGTGTAATATACAATGTACTTATAGACGTACCCAAACTAAAGAAAACAAGACATACTACACTACGAACGGTATGTCATACATACTAACAGCACGGACTATTAATTTGATAAATAACATTAGATTGCTTTTAGTAATATTAAGCTTACCATGTGCGGTTCACCAAGCTGTTAAAACGACAAGTTTTGCATGTCAATATATTGAAAGTAATTGAAAGCAATAAAACTGAACTACCAATTCAAATACTGTTTGGTAAAGTAGTTAGGGAAATCTACATGTGTATGTTAATGCAAACCAATCGGATCAATTATCAATTATGATAAGGCATATGCAGATTGAGCGAGTGTGCCTGATATTTCAGTTTCTTTCACGAGTTCGCAGTACGAGTGAAAGATACAAAGATACAAGTGAAATATATTTGTTATTACTAGAGACACTATTCAATATTCTATTTATTATATTTCCACAAGCAAAATAGCCGAATTAATAGCTTATTTAGATGAGACACAAAATGAGAAAACTGACAAGGCTTTTCGCGGACACTACTTACTCACTATACGCGACAAAATGTAGTCCGTTTTTCAAAAATCAATAAAAATATGTAAACACAAAAAAAAAAAAAAAAAAAAAAATTCAATGTAAATTCATTTTTATATTCACATAGAAAATATTACTTATTCATGTGACTTACAGACAAAATTTGCTGTAACAAGTGCAGAAAGTATAACCTATGACCAGTTTCTACGCGGCTGAAAATATGGCGCCAACGTACAAATGTCACTGTTGATGACACAAATTCTCTTGGAATGACTAACGTGTTAGCTCCACATTTAAGACGATAGGTGTAGGGTTAGGTTCGATGTCTGATAAAGTAATTTGTGTTGCATGGGTTGCTGACTTTCAAGGAAATAAAAGTTTATCATGGAATTGAATGTCGTGTTACAAGGAAACAACGCTTCAAGTTTCTGGTTTTGTGATTTTTTGTACCATGCATTATGCCAATTTTATAAAATGATTTGTGTTCTCTCTTTTCATTTGTGTAATTCTTTATATTTCCCTATATTTCACTGGCAGAAATGTAATAAATGACACACGCATTGACCGTATGCTGAAGTAACACTAACAGTAAGGTGTGAGTTTACCAACATTTTGGTTGGCAAATAGCAAGTATTTCGGATATTTCACAAAGCGTTATAGGTATATTGAAATATGATATTAAAGGTTTTTTTCTATAAAATTTACTTACAGGATGTTTAAATACCATTCGAGCGTAAAGATTTACGTCGTGTTTTAAAAATGTGAAGTTTAACAAAAGTCACCCAGTGGTGTAATTTGCACATCAGTACGGTATACTTTATTATCACACAAGATGGCGCGGCATAAAGTACGTCAAGATCTGTTTAACGAGAAAACGTCGTTGTAATAATTTCTCACGTGTTTTGGTCCGAAGAATACATTTGTTGATTCTTATGCAAATTTCGTTTATTTCATAGCACCCTGTGCAGAGGGAACCTCTATCTTGAGAGGTTTTGTTTATCAATCGAGATTTATTGTATTTAATTTGAGGAAAAATAGTACATAGGATGAAATATGAAACTATACACAACGGAAGATAATTCGTCTCCGATAGTTAGAAAAATTAAACATGATTGTTGTAAGTTAAACTGATTCGATAGTGCGAATGAATTGCCGAGAAATCTTTCCTTTACAGTTTCAGAGGATCTAATTCATCATATCAGAGAACAATTATCTTACGCATATTGTCAAATCATAGTTTTCCAACTTGATAAAATATTAATAATTTCTTATTTGACCAGCTATCGAAACAACGGATTCCATGGCGATGCTTCAATGCACATAATAGTCATCTGATAGATTGAAATAATATTAAGTAAAAGCTAAGCTTGTGGAAAAATTGACACAAGGCAAGTAGATAGGTGTAAGGTTAACCTTGCTCTGAAATTGTAGGTTTAGAAGCAGTATAGAGGTATTTAAAAGAATTCCAAGGCGCTGAAAATATAAGGAATACGAGCAACATTAGGTAGTATTAGGTTACCCTGGCACTAACAATCAATAAATCGAACTAGTGACATGCTTTGATCTAACATTTGCTTGTCTGTTGGCCGTTAGTATATATAAATGTCGCAAGTTTCACAAACCATGATATTCAAATACCTATTAATTGCAAAGTCTTCCATGTCTGCCGTCCCATTCGGTTTCTTCGACTCTCTACGTGGAATTAGTGGTGAATGGGGAGAGTTGGAAGTGATACTACTTCCGGCACTCGAACGATCACGCCGTCTGGTGGAGAACCTGCTCACGAAGGAGGAGCCTGTGTTGTTTTTCCATTGTCTGTCACTGCATAATAAATAAACATTGTGGTTTCACTACGATACATCATTAAAAAAAACAACAAACATTTTTGCGCAGTCCTTTTTATATTAAACTTATTTTTTGTAGATTACAATACAGTAATTGTGCCTTTTAGTTACATGGTATTTTTTAAAAGTTTTTATTTCAAGAAGTCTAGATCACTCAGAAAAAGTGCTAAAATTAGAACAACGGATAAGACTGTGCGTACGATGTAGGACTGGGGCATGGAACCATGTGAGGTTTCCATGTCGCTATAGACATGGAGTTTTCGTCCGCCGCGTAACATCTCCACAGACACTGTATCAGTCTGGCAGCAGGCACGCGCCGCCTTATCAGGTGTTTTTGGCGTTGTTGTTGCTGGACCTTCAAAGCAAAACCGGAACCCAGGATCCCCTAAATATAAAAAAATAAACAGGAATTAAACATGTAAACACTGCAGAAAAAAATTGCTATGTCAATCTGAATGTCGGCTTTATGCCCATGGTTTCCATTATCATGCCATTATTATGATAATCTGTGTGTAACGTCAATATAACATCTGAAGCTGGCATCACGATAGGTTGTATAACACATGTAATAGTAAAATGCTACATTTACCTATTCACTGAATAACAAGGTAATCATTTCTTAAATTCAGGAATATACTAAATTGAAAAATCATATCGCTTACATTCCTAAGAATAAGAAGCAACAAGTCGTCACAAATATCAAATGAAACAGCTAACGAAAAACTGAAGCAGCCAAAGAGAACTGATCATCGTGGTGGTTAATGGTTGAATGGACTGGATTTACATGTCGTGACCTACATAGATGCCGCAGAAAGTACTTCCGGAACACTTTGTCACATTTCTCTTTCAGTGTATCATTGTATTCCTTTATTTTGCTCGTATTTTGCCCCCATAATATCAGTTTATAGTCTGTAACGTTTGTTTATATGTCGGTATTCAAGCGATCGAACACTATGGTAATATGCATGGACATTCCAAGTAGTTAAAAGGCAACCTAACAAACAAAGCCTTGAATAAGCCGCATGCTGGACTGAGAACTTTTGACCTATCGATTGGCTTCAAAATTATCCTGAGCTACAAAATCTTCCTGAAAGCATTCGTATAGGAATTAACCAAAAGTCAAACAAAATAACATAACAAACATATACATTATAAAGTATTATATCCTGTAATTCTAAAACTTGTTCGAGAAAGTGTATTTTCAGCAATCAAGATAAAACAAGTTTTGATTCTATACTGATATGATTTCCAGCTTAAAGATGGATCGATTCGATACGGAACCATCCTATACAAAAATATGACATGTTGTACTAGGTAATCTAGTCAAAAAATAAAGTGATGTCATCGTTAGCTCCAGAAAACGGCACCAAATGTACCTTTCATTCAATTTGACATCAAATTGACGAATATTTAAAAGCACAATTTATTATTTTACGACACAAAGACCTCATTTACAACTCATAGTATTGTTTGTGCTCGCCCTCAGGCAGTATCTACTTTATACCAATGTTCTGATATTACTAAGAAAAAAATGTGAATATCTTCTTCAAAAAACACAAACAATACCAAGCATTAATCTGTTATCACAAAAAGTTCAAACATGTCCATTTATCTTGTTGGAACAATAACATTTTGACAACTTCGTACAATGTTCCATATTCCTCCACATTAGACAAGACACATACTTACATGTTTTTTTTTGTAAATCCCTGTTATTTTTCAACCAATGGGATACACATGCTCTCTCTCTCTCTCTCTCTCTCTCTCTCTCTCTCTCTCTCTCTCTCTCTCTCTCTCAGGTGTCAGGTGATGGTCATAACAACAAACAATATATTAGATATGCTCTCTCCCTGCGCGTCCAGTGTCCAATATGAGCTGACATATAAAACACATTTGAACGCGTGACCCATTTCAAATCCATGCAATTAACCAATGGCATTGCTAAATAATACTGTAAAACCTACAATGGCACTGTCTTAAGGGCGATTATATCGAATGTGTGAGTGTCACAAAGATGTAAAGGTACCGTGCACTGGCCTCGTTAATGGAAGACATACACCTTTAATGATACCCAATATCGGAGGATAATGTTCACATAACAGGAAAGTAATCTGACGAATGTCGACATACCATAGAAAGGAGATGAAGCAGACCAATAAAATGTGACAGTTATGACATTGCGGATTTCCTGTCGCTAATGATTCGATTGTCACGGCATAGAACAGTCAGACATTTTACATGAATAAGCGCTGCCTCAATAAAAAATGAAATAAAGCAAATCCATTTTTTTAGTCACGGCAATGGGTTAATCAGTTGTACTGTAGTGATTGTGAACATATTATTCTTGTATGTGCTACTTATTCCAAGATGTGAGGTTAAAACAGGGATAAAGACCATATATTTAAGATATAGACAAAAGGACTTTGCACTCATAGCAAAAATGAGGATTTGAAAAAAATGAAAAATCAGATACGGAAAATATCAACACTGCAGGTTTACCAACAGAAGAACATACCGCAGGCAGGGCGAAAAAGGATATCCCCAACACAGCTGAAAATGCAGCTATCAATTTGCCAGCCCATGTTGTAGGAACCACATCTCCGTATCCTACAGTACACAGTGTGATCTGAAAGTGACAAATAAATTGTGATAAACCATTTTTCTTAACGCAAAACGTCTTCATTTCTCAAAAATCTCAATCATGTTATTGTCCAACCAGAATGGCACAGTAATCTCTGAAAACAGAAAGATTGAATGATATTTTGTCTTGTTGTCAGTGTTTTCATTTTCATTGTATCGCAAGTAAACAGAATGGATTTTGATAAATTCATCTGGAATGCGATGGAATTCCGTTAACAAAACCATTTTGTTATCAAGGATGATGTCATTGTAATACGATGCCAAATGGAATCCTTCAAATTGTGCGTTTCTCCATTAAAGGAAACATTCGTGACTATTCATTCTTAGATATACTGAAAAGAAAACTTACTTATTTTCTCTGTGAAAACCATCAGGGTTTAGTCAGCAAGGCGGATGATATTGGAATACGCAACCGAATTCAATACTTATATTTTCGTTATTAAACTTTATAAAACAGATAAGGTGAATGAGGTGCTGTCTGTTTCACCAGTCAGGTTTGGGCCTGTTCCTCGAACTTTTTCCATCTAGAATGGGCGTATCTTAACGAGGTTAAGCCTTGTTCATTGGAAAAACAATCCAATCTGCGACATCTGAATTGTTGTATGTTAAAATAAATTACATGGTCCTGCTCCAGAAACGCTCTGTTAGCGAGACTTGAATGTGCTGACTTCCCCCGACTTCATCCGAAGTACCACGAAGCTCGAGGTTATGTTTTTAAAAGCAACCGTTTTAAATATTCATATCTAAATGTATATACAGCCCAGGTTCCACAAAAATAACACCTAAGACTGCTGTTCTGTTTGATTACGCGGGTGTTCGTGAAGCGTAGATGTCATCGTGAATAAGTGATACACAGAAACACGTTAGGAAGATAATTACACAGTTCTTTTTCAAACTAAATGTTCCGGATTAGACAACGCAGATGAAATAAGTTTATACATTTACAACTCACCACTCCCCACCAAAGGGCATCGGCAAAACTTCGAAATTTCTTTTTGTCGGCATCTTTTTCTGCTAGGTACACAAGAAAGGACGAGAAGAGAAGGCCAAGAAATCCAATGTACAGCGTTGTAAGGAGTTCCTGTAGAACCGGGTAGAAATGTACAATATGATAAGTTAAACGTGCTCTAATTCAGTTGTTCCGAAAATAATGTTACTATGGAGATCTCTTTTCATTTAATTCATGGGTATTTTATATCCTCGAATTGATATGTCCATGAAACTACAGATATATAAAAGTTTACATAAATTTTTTTACTAGTGAATTTTGTAATTAAGATTGTTCTGCGAATCAAGTGCCAATAAAATGCGTAATTTTGGAGAACCGCGAAATCTGAGTCCCACGAAAATACGGTTTTACAGTAAACTTCCAAAATAGTTTCATCGTATTTCGCAATTGTGATGTAATTCTATATCAGTATTTTTGGTTTGTTATCTGCAAGCATATTCTGGTATCATTAATTGGAAAGTAACTCAAAACAAGACAACAAAAACGCACGCATACATGCTACCTTCTGATTTTTCTCACCATTACAATTAAGCAAAAATACTATCATTGTCCTTTCAATGGTCACCAAATAAAAACAACTTTATACGGATAAACTGCCTTTGTGTCCATGCATATGGGGACTACATAGCGAACAGGTAATTCCACTGTAGATTATTCTGGGAGCAAATATATTAGGGACTTTGATATTCTGTAATTGGAAGTAAACGACAACTTATAGACTTTCCTGATAAAATATACAATTGAGTACAGGAAAAAATGAATTCAGACGAATTTGTCATGAACTGTGGGAAAAGGTATTCTAATCACCAATGTACCTGCCTATGTGCCCAGACAACAGATCCCAGAAGTTTCCAAGAGCCCCCCCGTCTGTCCATCCGGGCCATACGTAGGATTTGAAAGAAGCGTAGTCCTCTTAGCGGTGAGGCAGCGAACATTGGACTGGCGATACCAAGAGATAGTACGATAATTGAGGCACCGATGATCACCATATCTGCAACATATGAATTAAACAGTTACCAGAATAACGGTAAGCATTCGTTTTGAACAGATTTACAGGGCTTATATATGACCGTCGGTACTGATATTGACTTTACTGTTAACACAAGAAAACGGCCCTTCATCAATCTGTTCATATCATACTCCTTAAAGTATATTTATTTGAATAATTGTGAAACAACGCTAGTGTAGTCAGTAAAGTCACTATTACAGACTTGGGTGTAGCGACGGTAACGAAAAATACAGTTACAATGACTTGCCTTCTTAATCACGAGCAAATCTTGTAGAAACAATAACGATAGCTTTTGGTTTAATGAATCCATACTTGATCCCGTCACAGTTTATTCATTTAGCAATTATCAACATTCCTATGAAATCCCAAATGGAAAATTTAATCAAATTTCTTGAATTACAGGACAAGTGTTACTCGCCGTTCCGAATTTGGCCTACGGAAGGAGCATATTCGTTCACCGGAAGTTTGGATTCTAGAGATAAGTAATGTTAATGTTCCGTATTCTAGGACGTCCCAAGGTCTGTTCAATTGCATATCAGACCTTCAAATGTTAGGGACTGTCAATCGAACACAAATGTCGAAACTTAAGAGTTTACAGAGCAGGAACGAAATAAACGACCTTTTTGTCCCTAAACCTCGAAATCATGCATGTGAGGGTCAATATGGGAGGGACAGGAAGCATGAGTTTCGGTAACAGATCTCTTTATCTCTTATAAGATTATTATTTTGTGACGATAGTTTAAATAGTCCCGATATTAACCAGTAAACAGTTGGTTAACCACAGCAGCCGTTGACTATTGCCTGAAACTGGTGTCTGCAGTATACAGCGTTTTTGCAAAGCAATTATGTTCGCGTTAATCCTGTGCAAACTTTCCCTGCAACGATTTGGAAATTATTGTGTACCGACAATAAACAAATTTTGCATTAGAAATTTTATTTTGATAAGTTTGAAATGTGGTTCTTAATTTATTTCTGTTACGTGCGAATATTTTGTGTAAGAAAAAAAAGAGCACCTACGGGTCGGTCGATGTTTATAATTATTTTCAGGGATGGCAAATTATATCGACAAATTGTTTAACGTTTGACTGGAGCGAGACTCGGAAATAGTCATGTCGGGTTTCCACATGTGTATTCACACAACGACATATTACAAACGTTTTATCATACTATAAACACGATCGAAGAGCAAGACTGTTTTTTATACTAACATATCAGTTGGAGGTAGAAATCCGGAACAGTGTAAAGAGAACATATTAAACATGATTACCTTACAGAGGCATATGGATACTACATCAACCTAACATACTATCATCACTGTACAATATCTGAATAAACTCGTTTTCTCATTAATTCAGGGTTAATACACATTATCAAGGACCACGTGCGGCACTTACCTATAATGCACAGAGGTCTTCGCATAAACCTAAGGCGTCCCGAACAGCCCTGATATCTGGAGCGACATCCGGCCGCCCAAACCCGGATTGCATACTCAGCCATCAGCCAAACCAACAGGAATGGTTCCTGGAGAATAGACGTTGGTATATAAGGTATATCATGTGTTTACATATACAAAAACAGAACCGTGAGAATTCTACTGGCTGAAAACGGTTGTCCAAGCCCTTCAAGATGTTACAACCACGGTCAGGGAGCAAATAACTATTAAGCATCATTCGTCTTATTATTGATAAAAGATGAAATAACTATAACTAAGGAAGGATATAATTTTTTATTTCAAATTAGAGTGAGATCGAATGGTTTGTGAAATGTTCGTTCGGATAAAATACTTCTGTTAAACAGAATGTTTGGGTTTATACGAGTTCGAGATAAGGAGGTTCGACTGTGATCAGTGAAAAACTTAAAATCGGACAATATCTTTCAGGACTGCAGACACGGTACGAATGATATGTTAACAAGTTCCATGTATGGTAAACAAATCCATGAGAGATGGCCATGACTACTTACCAGATAAAGTGCAATTCTTGTGAACAGTTTGGGATGGAAATCCTCGACTGTAGCCAAGACACTTAACACAAGACATCCAACAATTACAAGGAACCTGTAACACAAACATATATAATGGCTTCTCGTTCACACTCTCCGTTATTGTATTGGAAGTATTGGAAATTTAGCCACTTGTATTTTATGATACAATGTGAATGGGATATTGAAAAAGGTCTATGCATTATTTGTCTCTGGAGATGTCCAGAAACACATCCCTTTGATCCAGTTCAGTATATACTAAAATAATGAGATAATGAGTTATCCACGCGTGATTCAATAAAATGAGCCTTTCATGATGGAATGTATATGTTAACTGTGTTCTACACACAATTTGTATCATGCAGTTAGGATGTCTGTATACATGTGACGTTTCTAGTTCCCGTATCATATGATCGGCACCTGTCTCTTTGTCACATTCTTGTGTCATATGATCGACACCTGTCTCTTTGTCACATTCTTGTGTCATATAATCGACACCTGTCTCTTTGTCACATTCTTGTGTCATATGATCGACACCTGTCTCTTTGTCACATTCTTGTGTCATATGATCGACACCTGTCTCTTTGTTACATTCTTGTGTCATATAATCGACACCTGTCTCTTTGTCACATTCTTGTGTCATATGATCGGCACCTGTCTCTTTGTCACACCTGTCTCTTTGTCACATTCTTGTGTCATATAATCGACACCTGTCTCTTTGTCACATTCTTGTGTCATATGATCGGCACCTGTCTCTTTGTCACATTCTGGTGTCATATAATCGACACCTGTCTCTTTGTCACATTCTTGTGTCATATGATCGGCACCTGTCTCTTTGTCACATTCTTGTGTCATATGATCGACACCTGTCTCTTTGTCACTTTCTTGTGTCATATGATCGACACCTGTCTCTTTGTCACATTAGTGTGTCATATGATCGACACCTGTCTCTTTGTCACATTCTTGTCACGTCTCTATCTGATAAACTCTTCACCAGCTGCCAGTTCTTCTTCATGTCTAGTATTCTCATCAGCGGGACCGTGTTGAATTTTAGTCTCTCACCTCAGCCTTAGCTGACACTATTTCGATGTCACATTTCAGTGACTTGTCCCCGTCTCATACACTCGTCACTAATCCCCATGTCATTGTTCAGTGACTTGTCCCCGTCTCATACACTCGTCACTAATCCCCATGTCAGAGTTCAGTGACTTGTCCCCGTCTCATGCTCTCGTCACTAGTCCCTATGTCACATTTCAGTGACTTGTCCCCGTCTCATGCACTCGTCACTAATCCCCATGTCAGAGTTCAGTGACTTGTCCCTGTCTCATGTACTCATCACTAGTCCACATGTCACATTTCAGAAAATTATCAAGTTTACTGACCCACATTTCGGCCTCCATCTTAATAATGTCGGAAAGCCTTGAATACCCGTATAAAACACCACGATCACATTGATGTGTTCACTAGAGTCCCATTGATACAGCAATTCTGGCTCGGAGTAAACACAACTGAATTATGGTAAAGTAACACGGCTGAAGTGGTCTCTAGAAACATCTTGTTAGGCTTTAAAATCACGTACATTAAATTATATCACAAACAACCTGATCCTTTTTCTCATGCACAACTTAATCTTTAGAAATATCTTAAAACGAAAAGTGTCTATTGCCTGCTTTGGCTTTAACGGATGCTGCAGCAACATCAGAATCGTTTTTAGATAGCACCGCAAGACATTGACATAACTGTAAATCAAAAGAATATTACATACCAAATACTTCGTCATGATTTTTCACATATGACTCAAGATTTAAAAAAAAATCTTATTCATCAATATTGGATGATTTCAAAAGTTCAAGCAGCTTCTACCATTTGTATTTACAAAACTTTTACAAGTAAAGCATCCAACAATTTCTGTTTCCCGTTTTTGATGTTGACTTACATATGTAACAATTCCTCATGTCAACTTTGGTGACGTCATCACTAATTGGTCTAACTTGGTGTGACTTTTCGGTCAAATTAGAATAACAAAGATTTGCACGTAAAAAGACAGTAACTTGACGATTACTAGGAAACTACTGTCATCTCTTCAATTATAAAAGTACTTCGACAGATAAGTAGCTATTATATAAGCTGCTTTCAATATGATTTTCACTACAATTTTGTATGACGTCATAATGGCCAGGGAAACATATCTCTAAATAGATTGATTTATATCTTTTATCCAGACTTGTTTCCAGATCGATCGCGTCTCTTTTATATTTTTGATCATTTGATATGCAACTAAAATTTTGAAACGGAACAGATTATGTAACATTTCAATTAGGAAACAGACTTTTCTTTCACTCTGCGTCTTGAGTTCCAGGTTTTTCAACCCATATAAACGAACGCCGTTGACCCTAACAAGGTCACGCCAACTTTTTAAAAATGCATGGAGCGCAGGTTATTGACCAGGACACGCTGGCGGATAATTTGAGGTAAGAAGAGAAAGTGAATGCACATATACTCTATTTTGGTCAGGCCATGTGTCACTGAGGGCGGCCCCACATCACCTGTTTACTTTACAGTCCTGTCCTGTAGGCGCTTGTAATGAAAGACTTCTATCTACCTAGACACTAATGCTGTATTTAGATGCTCGGGATGAACCAACAGTCAAAATGTCTGACCCGCAATTCAACACAGGAAAGCACTGACAACTGTATCTTCTTTCTCTCGATTTAATCATGCATTCCTTATTTACATTTCTGTGGTCCTTATCTTAAAATCGTTTAAAAAATTTTAATACAAAAGCTAAATAATAAATTGCAGTATGGAATGAATTAACGCCACACATCTAATAATTTACACCTACCGCAGACTTCATGCTTATTTCCGGAATTCTGATGATATGAAAAATGTTAATCAAATACAACACAAACATCTTAGCACTAATTAGCCTTTTCGGGTGAGCGCCGCCCAGCCCACATCTAAGAAGTCTGTAAATTCTTATTGTTGATAATTTTGTTAAGAGCTGTACTCATGGCTAATGATAAAAAGTTCTGCCAACAAAATCTGAAGTCTGCAATATCCTCCAATATTCGGCTTTATTATTTTTCTTATATTTTTGTCAAAATTGTCATTTAAATGTCAAATGTCGTAGCTTTAGAAAATACACTGACCACAGCTTAATCAGCCATTGCCTTGCTATAAAACTACAAACCAATTCACCAAAGCTCTCTACAAACAGTAATAAATGGACATGAAAATTATAACGAAATGACGGAAATATTTTTATCACATAACCCACCTATCGGCTCGTGGCATATCAAATTATTGAACTCGTTTAATAAATTCCATAATACATTGACACTCGTGTAAGATCCACTGTAACACATTATGAAATGATGAAATATAGTGGCATAAAAATTTAACAGAATAAATCTGAAGTCGGTCGACATCATTATCGAACAGAGTGTTAGTTATTGTTTGTTAACACAACGTAAGGTAATAATTAGAAGAGATCAAAAAGGGGCTTCCCCTCCTATCTTTTTCTATATATACTGTTTATCATGTACACTTGTATATGTATAATAAGTTTTGAAGTTGATTTATTACAAATATTTGTAACTTTTATTTCTTTCATTAAAAAAATGCATCAAAAGCCATTTCACTTTAATGGGGATCACTATTTATCGTTATTTTTCTCACAATTAAATGTTTTTCAAGGTTTTATGTCTGTATAAAGAAGAACATTTACTTTTTTTCTTACATTTGATTTATATAGAGCTAATCAAAATTTTGTTAAAACAAACAAACACACATTTTTGATGTTATGTAATGTTTCTTTTCAAACGGTGCTGCGTCCGCATTTCAGTAGCATCTGTTGAATGCTTGTGTTTTAGGGAGGTTGCGATGTTAGTGTAAGCATCTTTCTAATGGTGAGGTGTCAACTTTATAGTGTTAGCACACTGAAGTATACGACCGAAGGCCCCCAGCAGAATACTCAATCCGGTTACATTATACCACAATTATAAAGATCCTGGTATGTCACCTTCCTCACTGACCTTGAGGCAAACTCAAGCCAACTGTGAAGCAGAGTCAATATAGACCTGCGTTAGGAAAATAATGTTTAGAATGACGAGAAAAGATCAAATTAAGATATTCAGTTGTCTCTGTTGAATCTAACGAAGGGGGCAACAGGTACAATACTTAGGCAAGTAAACAAATCAGATATTTCATAAAAAAAGGCGATCGATACCAGTTTTTTTTTTTACCTATAAGTACATTGTATGTCATGAAACAATTCCGTGACGATTGATCTAAATCAAGTAAAAACCAAGTGTTACGAGTCAGTTGATCCGAGATACTTTGTACACAGACAGAAGTGTTTGAAACATGTGCTTACTCTCTGTGAAATGTCAAAGAGATGTTATCGGATACTTTTTGATACGCATGCGTAAAAACACGAAATGCTATCAGATTCCGAAAATCAGCTGTGCGTTGAGATGTTTGGGAGTATATTCCAAACACCCAGTTGTATTCTAAAAAAACATTGAGATTGAAGAGATTCGTTCACTACTTTTTCAGGATTTGATTCAGACCTTGTTAACTGAGATGAAAAATAAGAACCTAAAAAATTAAAACTGGAATGCCAACTGATGCCGAAACTAACTGCTTCAAAATGGGCGGCAACTATTACACAAACCAATATTTAAACTGTTTGTGTCTTCATACTGATACCGCTTTGATGAAGCATCATTTCTTTATAATCATAAATTTAATACAGTAGAAACTCGTTGTCTCGAAATTCAACCTTAAACAATTTTTTTTGTCAATATCCGACTTTATCTAGTGATATGAACACCATTTCAAGATAAACATTAGGAAACCAGCATCATCTGCAAGGAGAGGCAAGCAGGTAAAAATCCCTTCGTGTGGGTGAGATAGGGGATGTCAACAGTTGGGGAAAGATTATTGAGTTGCAAACACTCGAAGAGCCTCGTGTTCATCACCTGCCTCAGGTTGGGATCCTACTTCCCGTTGTCTGTGTATAAGTTCATATGCTTGTACATTGTCCTTTTTCATCGACGATCTTCTCGTAAATCAGTTTGCTCATCGTAAATCTGATAGCATCGAAAACAAATAAATTTAATCACAATCAGTCTAAAGTGAAGATCCCCTAGGCGACACGACGTCTTTAATTGGTGTGCGTTTAAAAATGTTCAATTAATCAGTGTGAATGATTAGTCACGGAAACCGCATTTCACTTTCCTTGACGAACCACACTTTCTCATCACACGGAGCATATCCTAAAATTGTTTGAAGATAAACGTTCAGTTATACACGGAGCCATTTTTTTTCATCCGTCAATACCTTACAGCTGCTCATTTCTAAGAGTAATAGTTTTTGCGATTTTCTTTTAAAAAGATAAATTTTTGATAAATGAATTAAATTTTTTTCGACACGGATGTGTATAAATACTTATTTCCTTCCTATGTTTGTAAAATGTAGCTGTAAAATAAAACAGTGTTGACTACAACTTCAGGGTAAAACTGATCGATCCAAAAATGACTAATTAATTATATTCCAAGAGGCCAAAGGTTTTTTTGATGGTGTGCTATATAATTCAGACATATAACGATATTTTGATGTTGTATCAGATATGTACAG